TTTTGGTAAGGTTTTGTATATTTTTGGTAAGGATTTGGCATTTGGTTAAGTACGAATTTGGTTGGTTTTTGTATTTTTTAGTATGAAATTAGTAATTATTTAGTAAGAAATTGTTAAAATTTTGGTATGAATTTGTATATATTTAGTACGAATTTGTTACGTTTTGGTATGCTTTTGTAATAACCCATAATAAAATCTGGTCTCATTAAGGGTTCTACAGACGAACCAATTGCGCAAAACTCTGAATTGGGTTGGATCATTTCTGGACCGACCAACTCGGAGCCATCATTGGGATCTCAAATAACGACGCTTATTTCATTTGTTGACGTGGAACAGCGCATATCTGAATTTTTCATGACGAAATAAAAAACGACGACGACGATTGCGCTCTTACCGAAGAAGAGCAAATGTGTGAAACCCATTTTCAAGAAAACACTATTCGTTTAGAAAATGGAAAATACTCCGTCAAAATGCCATTTAAGGGTGGTAAAAGTACACCAGACTTAGGAAATTCGCGAAAATGCGCCATTGCAACATTTTTGCAGCTTGAAAATCGATTCAAAAAAAATCCTAAGCTGGCAGAGGAATACAAAAAATTTATTCATGAGTACATTAACCTCGGTCACATGGAAAAATCGGTTTACGATCCAAATATCACGGCATATTATTTACCACATCATTGTGTGATTCGCGATAGCACCACAACTGCGCTTCGAGTGGTATTCAACGGATTGCAAAAAAGTGACAATGGCAAATCACTCAATGACGAGCTTGCATTGGGTGCCATAGAACAAAAAGATATGATAAGCATTCTCATCAATTTTCGCATATATAAATACGCATTTACAGCTGACATCGAGAAGATGTATCGGCAAATTTTAATCGACGAAAGTCAAAAAGACTTACAAAAAATCATTTGGCGTGATTCTCCTGAATTGCCACTCTCTAAATATCGACTACTCACGATCACATACTGAACTGGTCTTGCTCCGTTTTTATCGCATCGCACAACACGACAACTTGCAAACGATTGCGAAAATGAATAACCAGTTTCAAACACAATAAGAAAGAACATGTGGGTTGACGATGTGGTAAAAGGTGCCTTTTCCGAAGCAGAAGCAAAACAATTATGCAACGATCTACGCAAAGTGTTCAGCGGCGCTGGTTTCAATTTACGAAAATGGTCTTCAAACAGCGCAAATGTGCTATCCGAAATACCTGAAAGTGATCGTGAGCAAAAAGCAATAAGCAGCAACGTGAAAGCACTCGGCATAAATTGGTCTCCGTCACTTGATAATTTCACATATGAACTCAGTTTAAAAAATCATTCTAACCCATTCACAAAGCGATTATTACTTTCCGAAATGTCATCTATGTTCTTTCCACTCGGTTGGATATGTCCGGTAGTGATTTCAGCAAAAAATTTGGTACAAAAGTTGTGGGAGAAAAATGTCGACTGGGACGAAATCGTGCCAAAAGAAATATCTGAAAAGTAGTTAGAAATAAAAGACGAGTTGCATCTCATAAATGACATAAAAGTTGCGCGTTGGATTAATTACAATCCAGAGGATATCATGGAACTGCGCGGTTTTGGTGACGCGTCTGAATTGGCATACGCTGCCGTTATTTACATTAAAAACGTCACTCAAAAGACGGTGCGATTGTTGATCGCAAAAATCAAAGTAGCTCCACTGAAAACAACTAAAGACGCACTCACAGTGCCGAGATTAGAATTGTGCGCGGCGAGTCTGCTAGCCAAATTAACAAAAAGCGTTTTAAAAGCAACAAACATAAATTTGAACAAAATTTTTCTTTGGTCCGATTCCAAAATAGTCATCGATTGGATTCGTGGAAATCCAAAAAGATACAAAAAGTTCATGCACACCGCGTTTGCGCAATCGACAAAACAATTGGAACAAAGAACTGGTATCACGTTACCACAGAAAAAAATGCAGCAGACTGCGCTTCACGCGGTTTATTGCCATCAGAATTGCTGAAACATGAAATGTGGTGGAACGGTCCACAATTTTTGAGAGAAAATAATTATTACGCAACTATCGCAAGTCACTTAAATAACGTTGACCCTATCATTGAATCACTCGCACTTAATTTGGAAATTTCACAAATTCCAAATGAACAAATTCTTCCCGATGTATCGTCATTTTATAAAATGAAACGAACAATTGCATATTGCTTTCGTTTCGCTTCTTTATGCAAATCAAAACAAAAGCCAAAGGCGTGGAGTCCAATTTCAGCTGACGAGCTAAAAAGAGCAGAAATAGCAATAATAAAAGTTGTTCAACACGAAGCATTTGAAGACGATTTGAATCAATTTTTGAAAAATAAATCATTGAATAATTCTAGCAGCATTCTGAAGTTAAGCCCGTTTTTGGATGAAAATGAAATTATACGCGTGGGCGGCAGACTACGAAATGCTGATTTGGAGTTTGAACGCAAACATCAAATTTTACTTCCGAAAAACAATCACGTAACCACTTTAATCATTCGTCAATTTCATTTATTATGCATGCACGGTGGAGCAAAAGCTACGGAAACGATCATCAAACAACAATTTTGGATTGTGAATGCACAAATAGAAATAAAGAAGATTTTGCACCGTTGCATTCCATGCTTCAAACAAAAACAAAAAACTATGAAGCAGATAATGGCAGATTTGCCTGCTAATCGTGTAAACATTGTTGAAAAGCCATTCACTAATGTAGCAGTAGACTACACAGGTGCTATTCCATACAAATTAGCAAAGGGCAGAGCGGGTAAAGTTTCAAAAGCCTATATCTCCATATTTGTTTGTATGGCGACCAAAGCTATGCACATCGAACTAGTTTCTGACCTTACGGCCGACGCATTCTTCGCGGACGTGCGACGATGAGTAGCGCGTCGCGGCATGATTAAAAGTTTTAATAGCGATAATGGAACTAATTTTGTTAAATCAAACAAGGATTTAACCAATTTATTTGAAATAGAAAGTGAAGAATTCAACGCAGTCTCGATTGAGCTCGCGCGGCGAGGAATTGCCTAGCACTTTTCTCCAGCCGGCGCTCCTCATTTCAACGGCCTCGCCGAAGCCGGAGTAAAAGTTGCAAAAACTCACTTAATTAAAACGATCGGAAAAACTGCGCTAACATTTGAAGAATTGTCAACATTATTGTATCAAATTGAAGCATGTGCAAATTCTAGACCTCTTTGTGCTCTCTCTACCGACCCTGATGACATCAATTGCCTAACACCCGGTCATTTCTTGATTGGAGCACCGTTATTGGCACCGCCAGATGAAAGCTACATCGAAACAAATGTCAACTGGCTTTCACGTTGGCAGTTGGTGCAAAAAATGAGTCAACACATTTGGAAAAAATTTCAACAGGAATATCTGAATGAATTGCAAGTCAAGTCAAAATGGTTTACAAAGCGGGAAGAGCCAAAGGTGAATGAATTGGTTCTGGTAAAAGATGAGAATTCACCACCATGCTCATGGCCCATGGCGCACGTTATCAACGTGCACAAGGGCAATGACACACTCACACGCGTGGTAACACTCAAAATGCGCAACAGCACTTTCACTCGACCAATCACCAAAATCAGTCTTGTGACAACCGTCACCGCAGTCAGACGTATTAAGCGATACCGCTACAGTGTGCTATATTGTGAACATTAAGTGTTGTGTATTGTGCCGCAACCAATATGTTCGGTTTTGCTAACCATGCAAAAAGACGTCGATCGCCTTCTGGGAAGGTAAAAACTCGAAAACCAAAATTAATTGACACAATACAAGTGCCTTTATCAAACAAATTCAACATTCTCTCAGAGGATGAAACGGAAACCGGATCGGTTGAGGCTTCAACTAGCCGCAAAAGATCAAAAATTTCACCAATAGTCGTTACTGACGTCGAAGCTGATACAACAAAAATAACCGAGGATCTCGGTTTGTCTGTCGAAACCAAAATCGTTTCGATCGGGAAAAAAATCTTCGCACAATCCGCAGCAGACAAAGCTAAAATTATCACCGCCCTAGGAGCAGCAAAGGTAAACTACTTCACACATCCAGTGTTGCTATTGCTAACATTAAGAGTTGATTAAAATCACGTCAAATTTGTGTGAGCGATCAAAATGAACTGAATTTTATTAAGTTGTTAATTTTGAACAGTTATTCCAAAAATGCTTAATTGCTAGATATGGTTCGTTGCCTTTAATTTCGAATATTGAACCTTGTTTTTTTTGATGAAAAATGCTGAAATGCCAATTGATTGGACTTTATATGAATTTAAACAAATGCCAATTTGATTGGACTGTGGTAGTATTGTTACAGTATGTTTTGTTACATTGTAAGCAATTAGCTGTTTAATTAAAACTTGCGATTCAGTCGCAGATACGCCACCAAACATAACACACGTATTTTATTAAACCCATTTGCTGACTCCCCATTAACTGCGCACTCATCATTTACCTAATACTTATTATAATATGGCGAGTTTTTTTTTTTTTATATAAGCGGCAAAAGAACCGAAAAACCGAATTAGTCTATTTTATTGGCTATTAAATAGTGCAGAAAAGTGTAGAAAACTAGTGGACACA